TTGTCTCTCTTCTCACTTCCTGTCCTTCGTCTTCCCTATCTTTGGAAGTAGAAGGCATCCACCCAGGATGCCAGCTTGGATCTAGGCTCCTACCTCTCCTCCCCTCCATGTTTATAATAGACTTCCAAGTTCTGTCAAATGCCGTCTCCTCCACTGCCACACATCCCTTGCTCCTTCTGTCTAACTCATGCCTCGGCTTTCCCCTCTTCCTCCCAAGCCTGGGACGCTGCAGCGATATCTGCACCTGCCTTCCAGTCTCCCTGTAACCCATGGAAGGAAATTCTCCACTGCATCTTGGCCACGAAGAAAGCAACACTTCAGGCCCTGCCTCCTACCCACCTCTGTCCTTGTCATGCAGCCACAGGGCTCACCACACAGGCCCATTGCTGTGACTCCTCAAGGATTTTGCCAATATTTGCTGAAGTGAGGGGACAAATTTGGAGTCCTCCTTCTCCCGAACCCCCAGTCTATCTGCTTCAAAATCTTCAATTTAAAACATCAGGTTTGCCTTTTCAGGTACCCATTCTAAAGCTGGTTTCTTGAATACTGCGCACCTTTGTTCATTTGCCACCCTGGGTGGCTACCCTTGGTTGCATTAGGGGAGAAACAGCATGTATGAGAGAGATCAGAATGGGGGTACCCAAGTCCCAAATCAGAGCCTGTACATATCTCTCCTTTAATCAACCCCAAAGCCCTATAAATTAGGTTCTCTTTTATAAATGAAACAATATATTCCTTCTATTCATTCATATTCTAATGAAACGACATTCTGGGAAAATGAAAAGAAAGCGGCAGATTCAGTTTCCACATTAAATATGTGAGGGTAGGTATCTTGATTTAGTTTTTGTGACTAGTGTGATCTGGGCACATATTTTTTTTCTCTTAAAGTGACCCTTACTTTTAGCATGCCTTTGTTGGCAAATAAAACTATTGTATTTAATATTATGTAGTGCAACACCTGGATATAGTGCAGTGGGCTGCTGTAAGCTACCGTGAGTGGGCGGCAGCCAGCGTGAGCGGCCGGCAGCTGGTGAGATCTGCTGTGAGCAGCCGTCCAGTGGCCAGTGACCCACTGCCTCACCCTGGAAGAGTGCAATGATCACAATACCAACATGGGCCAGTGAAGCGACATCCTCAACAGCTAGACTGAAGAACAAAAGGACGGCAACTTGTCTGTTCCCCTTCCCCAATGCTGTTCCTGCCCCCAATTCCCCAATAAAATCTTTTTTAAAAACCCCAAAAAAGTCATCCCAACAGAGGATTTGGAATAAAAGGAAACCAAGGGACATGAATTATTGTTATTGCAACGAAAACCTATTAGGCTGCTCTGCTGTTAATACCAAAGTACTGTACTTCCATTAAAAATTCATCAGAGCTGACAAGTATTTTATAACACTGGTCTGAAAGAATTAGTAATACAGCTAAGAGGATTCCACATGACTAGAGCTGGGCTTCATTAAGAAATGCGACGCTCCAAAGTAAGGATTATATACAAAGCCTGACCCTTTCCTGAGGCCTGTCCCAGCACAGCAACGTCTCAGGATTAGCCCATGGGCCAGGCTGCCACCACTTGGGTCTATTGACTCCACATTTCTTATCATCTCCCGATCAAACACAGACCTACGAGATCGGAGTAGTGATACCTCACAGGAACATTTATGGCATGTGCACTTTTCTGTGTGGATGTTCTATTTCAATAAAAAGTTAAAAAAAAAAGAAGTAAGGAACCAAGTGATGGAAGAGTAATTGACTCCCAGAAAGAGTTCCTGGCAGGTTCCCCACGGTATGTTCTCTCAGGGGAGACGATGGAAAAGGGGGAAAAAAGGACCACTTCTTCAATTTAGTGAATGCCTTTCTTCCAAGGATCTCAAAGCACCCTTTCTCAAAGATAAATCTGTTTTTTCAGTGAATATATCTTAAGCTACTAAATAAGCCACTTGGCAGATACTCTAGCTCTTAGTAGTGACATTTTTAAGTTCCACTGGGATCATTCAGTGCGGATTTAGTGCTGTAGAGCTTACCTTGTAAGGTGTTAAACATGGCAAAGAGATACATGAAGGTGACATTAACTGGTCCCCAGGCAAAGAAGGCAAAGCCCCAAGTAATTCCCAGTAAAAATGTAAGGCCGGCTACGCTCCTGAGGTCTTGAATACTGGTTTTTCTCTGGGCTCCCAACTGCTTCTTCTTTTTAATTCGACAGAGCTGAACCAGGACCACAATGAACATGCTGATGTTCAGCAAAAAGATCACACAGAAATATCCCACGACTGTAATATAGAATACAGCATTGTTGTTGATCCAGCAGCTGGAATTCAGGGGGGAAAAGACAGGAAAACATATTACAATGCTGAAATATAGCTCAAAATGATATGATGCATTAATATCATTTTACTGAAACAGTTCCTGTAAGTACAAAAGAAAAAAAAGATAAAACCACTGTTCTCCACAACCATTTATACCTCTAGGGAAAAAGATTAAGTCTAAGATACTTTGGGACCTTGGTGATTGAAAGTATTTTAAAATTACTCTTCAAAAACATTCAGGATTTTACCCCCTTTAAATCCTAGTAATTCTATTCCGTGAGTCTTTACTAACAATGTAACTGGTATTTCATGTTTTTATCAGAGGCTTATAAAAATACTTTCATTCTTTCTATGGCTGAGGGGGCTGGGTGAAAAAAGTGAGGGGAGGAAGTAGTACAAATTGGCAATTACAAAATAGCCACAGGGATGTAAAGTACAGCATAGGAAATATAATCAGTAATATTGTAATAACTATATATAGTGCCAGGTAGGTACTAGATTTATTGGGGGTATCACTTCATAAATTATATAAATGTATAACCACTATGTCATGCACCTGAAACTAATATAAAATAATACTGAATGTCAACTGTAATTGTAAAAAAGTATTTTGAAAATACTTCCTCCTAATTTGTTTTTTAATACTTAAGTAGTAGTATGGCATTTCCAACTAGTTTGTCTCATTACATATATGACTGCAAAGGCTCTGTGAATGTTACTGGATTTTATTAGGATGAGAGCCAGAGTCGATATGCTGATTAGATGCTCCACTTTCATGGAGAATTCTCTTTTCAGTTCACTTAACATTCCCTCTGGGGCTTTGTACTCACAAGTCATTGGGTGAGCCACTAGGGAATTTCCCATAGGATCCAAGCCCATAGTTATCTGGGGATATAGTCAGGACAATGGTCACAATCACAGCTGGTACCCCTGGAAGATAGGAAACATCAGTCATACATGGTTCTAATAACCAAAGCTGGTGAGAAGACAGAATAGAGATCATGGTCTATTTTCTTCAGGCAGCAGGGACTGGTGAACTGTTCATCAAACCCAGTTTCTCTTCCTCCTTGGAACATGGCTGGACCTCTCCCAGCCTCCCTTGCAGCTAGGTGTGTGGCCACATGACTAGGTGTTGGCCAGTGGGATATGGATAGACGTGATCTGCTCCACCTCTAGGCTTGTCTCATAAAAACCTATGATATCCTCTACTTTTCCCCCCAAAATTCAGGACAACCTTGGAAGGCTTGTCATGAGGCAGAGCAGAGTCTCAAGCAACTGGAAGACCAGAGACCCCTCTGCTCCTACTAACTGGACCGCACATGAATGAGAAATTATCTTCTCCTGAGATTTCAGGGTTTGTTCACTACAGCGGCCAGTGTTACCCTTAACTTATACATGCCTGGAATGTAATTTTAAGGGTCAGGTGGCAAACAAAGTGAAGGACTCCAAAATGTAAATAAAATGTGAGTCATAGTCGACTTATAAGGATTACCAACTCCCCCCAGGTTCACATGGCTTTTGGCTGGGAAGGAGTCCTTCTCACCCCTCCAATTCCATCACCCTCCACCAAATCCCACACAGACACCTCACATTCTGCACACAGACCAGCCTGACACCAAATCTCAAGGCTCTGGTATATAAAGAACAATTCACTCACAGACAAGTTGGGGTGCCTGCTACAATCTAACATAATATTTCATTTAATTCTTTTATATTTGTAACTTCTGGAGACACTAACACATGATGAACTTCCAAAGGGAGACACTTGCCTAAAAACAAGATATTGGGGGTGTAGAGCTAGTCCTTGACAAGGAAATCCAACCTCTCAGAATTCTACAAAGAAGAGAATTTGTGGCCAATGTCAGAAGCAGTGACTCACATTTCTGGGAAGAAGTGATTTCTCTTTATCTGGAAAGGTGGTATTGTTATTCTTCACAAAGATATCATGGCAGGTGGGGTGACAAGGGTGGTAAAGGGTCTGCAGTCCTGTTGTGTAGGGATTATTTAGCCTTAGGAAGAGGAAAGAGTTTGGGAGGGATGGTGGCTGTAATACAGTGGGAGGGATATGCATAAGAAGTCAGAAAGCCAGGCTCGGCTGTTCTCGAGCTGTGTAAATTGGGAGCAATCAGGTCATCACTTTGAGCTGGTTTCTCCACCTGGAGTTAGCAATAACTGCCTTGCTAACCTCACTGACTTGTCCTTCATGGGGATACTTGTGTGAAAATACATTGAAAAATGGGGCATGATACATCATGTTATATATTACTTGTAGATTGTCTAAATGACCCTTTGGTGGAAGAGATGTCAGCTTATTATTTTTTTGCCTGAGAGAGTAAAACCAAGACCACTGGGTAAATGCCAACAGAAAGCCAAGTGAACTTAATGGAAAAACAGAACTGTAGAGATTTAGAAAATTGTTACTGGTTGCCTTATAAAGTATTAAAATTAAGGCAACAGAGGAAAAACGGACAGTTTTTAGTTGGGAGGGGGTGGGGATGAAGGGGAAGGGATGAGACAATACAAATGGGTAATTACAATATGGCCTCAGGGATAGAAAAGACAGTCTGGGGAATATAATCAATAATGTTGTAAATATTTTTTAGGGGGCCAGTTGGACTCATGTCTAGTGGGGGAGACCACTTCATAGTCGGTGTAGAGGCCTGACCACCACACTGTATTTCTGAAGCTGATGTTGAATAATATTGTATGTCACCTACAATTATATATACATATAGTCACGGGACATGGAGTAGAGTGTGGGAATGGAGTCAATGGAATTGTAATAGACAAGCATGATATCGGGGGTGGGAGGGCAGTAGATGGGGGGGGGGGGTTGTTACCTTGTGAGGGTGAAAAGGATAACTATTGCATTGTTCTGTACACCTGAAACTAACAATAAAAAATTTAAAAAATATATAGTAAAATAAAACATAAAACTAAGGCAACAGGCCCCAGATGGAATTGCTTATGCTAAGCTTCATGTTACCAAACCTTGACTTAACTGAATTACAGTTTTGGCTCTCTCAGAAATGGAATCTTATATCATTCGATCAGGCATGGCCTTATCAGCACTAGTTAGGTCATCTGCCTGATAGGCCTCTGCCATCCCCTAAAGGAAAGTGACTTTGCAATAATCAGTCCGCTTTTTTTTGTCTAGTATAACTTCCTTGTTCCTGCTTCCTTCTGCTTATAAAAATCTTTCATTTTGGACAGCTCCTTGGAGCTCCCATCAGTCTGCTAATAGATTGGATGCTGCCTGGTGCATGAATCATTGAAAAAAGTCAATAAGATCTTTAAAATTTACTCCATTGAATTTTGTTTTGTAACTAAGGTAATGAGCTCCCTCAATGATAGAAGTGTTCAAGCAGAGGCTATGTTATCTTTAGTCCAAAGTAAGTCAAGTTGAAGAGGCTCCTACATTTATTTGGTGGGGAGTCAAATGAAGAAACCTGTAAGATCTTTGGGGTGTCTAAGACTTTGTGACCCACCACCAATAGGTGGCATGATCTGAAATATTGTGCCAGTGTGGCAGTGAAATTATATTAGGTTTTATCTGTATATTCTCTCACTCTGCCCTTCTGAGCACACCATCATGCATGTGTGTGTGATATCTGGTGGTACAGAACAGAGTGAGAGGCCAGCTGGGAGATCAGGAACTGAGAATTTGGCTCCGTGATTACCAAGCTAATTTTGTCAATTTATTGAGCACCTTCTGTGTGCCAGCCCCAGTTCTAGTTGCTGGAGATATAAAGAGGATTCATAGCCCAAATCTCAAAGAGTTTTGTGTTCATAACCAATCCAAGGGAAATATACAGGTGTTCTAGAAAGAGACTTGACAAGGAGAATAAAGCTGTTTTAGAAACCTGCCCAGTGTGATCTGTTTCATCATTGTCTCTACCTGATTAAAAATCAAAACACTGGAGAAAAACAGCAGAGAAAGCAGAGGCAATGTGCAAGCCAATGATACATACCCCAACCAATGATGCAGAATTTAAGGATGTATTTCCGGATGTAAGTATTAAACACCTTGACAAGGGCCAGATACATATGAAATGCTTCCAGGCCCATCCACGTAAATGAGACCAAGAGAAAATAATGCAAAAACACAGCTGCCGAGATGCAGAGGCCTCGCGTGTCATACAGAGCAATCCATGAGTCTAAGAGGAACACCAGATTCAGCAGGAGCAGAGCTGCACAAAGCTGAATGAGAATTTTGGAAGGGTAATCTCTCCGGATCTTTCTAAAAGGAAAGGACAAGAAAAGAATTAGCATCACGTTCGCCTTATGTGTGCTGAGTTTTAAGCAATTTATTTTTATTCTTTGGTAAACGTCTATAGTAGCCCCCCCCTTATCTGTGGGAAATACATTCCAAGACCTCCAGAAACTGTGGATAGTACTGAACCCTATATATGCTATGTTTTTTCCTATACCTACATACTTATGATAAAGTTTGTAAATTAGGCACAGTAAGAGATTAACAACAAAACTAACAATAAAAGAGAACAATTAGAACTATATACTGTAATAAAAATTATGTGAATGTGGTGTCTCTTTTTCTCTTTCCAGTAATTTTTATATTTTTCAGTCCAAACCTATTTCTGAATCTGTGTAATCATCCCTTACTTGGTTTGGGGTCACTCGTTTCAGGGAACCCTTTGCTGAAATCTTCATTTAATAGGCTCAGTGCTTTCTGGCCCAACATGTTGCCATCAGTCAGAAAACATTTTCTGTTTATGTCTTCCACCCATAAACGTAATGCCTTTTCCATCTAACTAAACACTATCACGCACTTGTAGACAGCAAAACTAGCACAAGTTTCTTTTTACTTTGTCATAATTTCATGGATAGAAGGTACCTTCTTACCGTAGATCTTAGCAACCTCAACATCCAATTCTTTTTCTTGCCTTAATTTAGTCAAGAACTGTCACCTTTTCACTTAATGGAAGCACTTTACAGCTTTTTTTTGGCATATCTGAATTGCCAGCATCACTACTTTTGTGCTCTGGGGCCATTATTAAATAAAATAAGGGGGACTTGAACACAAGCACTGCGATAACCAAGACAGCTACTAAGTGACTAATGGACAGGTAGTGTATACAGCATGGATATGCTGGATAAAGGGGTGATTCATGTCCTAAACAGGATGGAGCAGGATGGCGTGAGATTTCATCATGGTACTTACTCAGAACGGTGTGCAATTTAAAACTTAGGGGTTGTTTATTTCTGGAATTTTCCATTTGGACAGTAGTTGACCGTGGGTAACTGAAACCGTGGAGAGTAAAACCATGGATAAGGAGGGACTATGCATAAGTGTAAATTTCCTCTCTTTGAGTGTGTGTGTGTAGGCATTAAAACCAGCAACAATAACAAAGGAGAAATCTAAACAGAATCATCTGTGGTAATCATTAGGAAAATTTGTGTTTGTATTTCTGTGGAACCTTTTACATGCTGACTGTTGACCCATCTTTTTAAATAGTTTGCAGTGGAATCTACTGAGTACCCACCCCGTTTCTCCCAAACTACTTCTAGAAGCATTGCTGCTGCTTCTTATACAATAGGCTCCTATATTCAGATCTTCAAAATATAGCCAGTTTCCCCTATTATGTTATTAGTTAAAATGAGATCATGGAAAGAAGAGTTTAAACTATAGCTAACTGAAACAGACATAGGAAAATATAGCTAACTGATGACATGTACATGCTTATGTGTGTGAAATTAGATCTGGTGAAGTCATTCTGAGTAATGGCTGGCCCTATGGTAAATTAGTCTCATTAATAATATTTTTAAAGGTCCACTAGAAGATCTGTAGTTACAGCTGGACCCTAAGTTTGGCACTCAAAGTAAATTTGTGCATTTCCTGATCAGTGTCCAAAATCTACATCTCAGAATTTATATATTATTTCATTTAGTTAATGTAATAAAAGCGCCTATTTCCGTCTTTTCCAACAGAATTTGTTGGAATTCCTCCAAAAAAGTGACCAAAGGGACCTTTCTGATGAGCCAAGGGGATGCTGTTATTTGGAATGTCATACTTGCTGTGACTTACATAGCTGTGCTCACCAAGTATATATATTTTCCAGTGATGCTTTACACCCTTTTTTCTTCTTCAACCCACATGTGTTCATGTATTTAATATTTTGTGTTTGCTTGGTATAATTTAGAAATGTAATATATTAAACATAGCTCTTATGCTGTACATGGAGCTATGGTCTAATTCAGATTGTAAGCTGTTGGGTTGGGGGGTCTGTATCCACCTTTCATTTCACATTTAATGTCAAGTAAGTACCAGGCATCATTTTAGGGTACAAACATGATTAAGACACAAACCCTGCCTTCAATGAGTGCACAGACAGACTAGTGGAAGCAAGTATATAAACCAAAAGGTTCCATGAAGTTTTACATATATGTCTCCCCACTAGATGGGTTTACAGGATAAGGTAGGTTGGAGAAGCTGACTTAATTAATATATTTTGGCAATAGAGGTGAGCACTGAATCCTATCATCCAAGTTTCCATTTGTGGATACTCACTCAAAAGCTATGTAGGTTATAAGAGTAACTGACAGAAAAATTGATGAAAGCCCACAACCAATATATGTGATAAACGTCAGAGCCATCATCTGAGCCGGTGGCAAGGATGTTCGAGATAGGTCCTAGAAAATAAAATATTGTTTTCAAGACCAAATATTTTAAATAAGAGTCATGATTTACATTGAATGGTCTAAGTGCCCATCCATAGTTCATTCAACAAACCTACAAGGTGGCCAAAATTATTACCATCAAGTAAAGGTAATGAAACCAAGGCCCAGAGAGGTTAAATAATTTGTCCATGCTCACACAGCTATGAAGTAGAAGAGCCAGGATCCAAATTCAGGTGTGACTGACTCCAAAGCCCATGTACTTGATCAACGTATTATGGTGCATCTGAGAGGCACTGGGCTAGGAGCCTAAAGACTTGAATTTGGCTTCTGGCTCTTATATTTCTTAGTTCTATGACTGTGGACAACTACCCAACAAATGAGTCTTAATTCTGACTTCATTAAAATGACAATAACAATGCCCCATTCTATTTATCTTGCAGGACTATTGGGGAAATTAAATAAGATAATTTATGTCAAGGTGTTGTATAAAAATTTTAAAGAGCATTGCAAACTAAACAATTTTTATTACCCATTTTAACCTGAATTCCCCAGTCCTCCTCGCTATTTAAATGAGAAAAACTTAAATGTAAAAATAGAATGGGGAAAAATACTTCCGTGTTCAAGTATTGTCCTTCAAGTGCATTTGCTTATTAGAAGAGTAATTTCATTGGTCTATGACTTTGCCACAATATCATCTCTACTGATCTATTGAAGTCATCCATCAGATTAGACATCATGGTATGATGCCCAGCTACCCCTCAGACCCATAACCTAAGGCCAGGTAGTGTGGGGATATTACCAGTAGGACGCCGAAGCTCGTAAGGTGGCTGCAGGTACAAATGGTTTCATTCAGCCTCCTGTCTTTGACGGAGCAGCCATCGGATGACCAGCCTCCTCTGCCACCTGTGGCATTGGAAAGAGTATCTGTTCTGTCAGCAAGGGCGCAGCACCAGTGACTGCCCTTCCTCCCCAATCCCCCCCTCCCTGCCCACTTACGACTTTGTAAAACGTATGACTAGAACCTACCGTTTCTGCCCAAGTCCCAAAATACACATCTCACTGTTAAGTCATCCTGCAGTAGAAAGATACATTACAAATAATTAATGGACTCAAGAGAAAAAACTGAAAATGAATTGAAAAAAACCCCTGATATTTTTTAGTTCAGAACCTCATACTGGTCCCTACAAACAAACTAGTCTCATATAGGTCAGCACTTCTTAAACTCAGCAGTCATGCATAGGAGGCCTTGTTAAAATGCACATTCTGATCCTGGGCCTGGAGTGGGGCCTACGAGTCTGCAGACCCCACTTTGAGTAGCGAGATCATAGATGATGCGCAATGTGAACTGAACTGAGAGATGTTTTTCTCTTTGGAGGTGAGAATCTGACCTGCAGCCACAGATCTAAATGTGCTGAAATTCGACAATTGATAAGAACTTGATTTTGCACTGTTCCCTCTTGGAAATTAGGTGGTCAGTTATTAGGCAGCTAAAACCCAACAGAGTGACTGTGTGATTCTAGCCTTACATGCTGTCCTAACCCAGTTTAAGGTTCTGCTGGATCTCCTTTTTCTGGCCAAGTCTTACAGGAATAGTTTACACAAAGTGTTTCTGGTCAGTGAACAGACCAGACAGGCCTCTCCCACCTGGCTCTGGTCGATGTGCTTTAATGTAACTGTCACATTTCTTGTCAGGTTCTTGACGGTCAGGTTTGCAACACTTGACGATATGACGTAGCTGATCAGAGAGAGGTTCTCCAAGGTAGGGTCCTAGCACACCAAAGAATCAACAAGATGTCAAGGGAAAATGAAATGTTATCAGAGAGTTTTAGAGCTCAAAGGGACCCTAAGGACTACTTAGTCCATATTGTTTATTGTACAACCTAGGTCAGAAATTGAGGGACAGGGAGTAAAGTGACTTTCCCAAGGACCATAATTAGAAGCAGAGCTTGTCCTACTATACAGTGCTCTAAATGCTGAGTTAAATTTCACAGATTAACATAACAGGACCTTCATGAATCTCAAAGGGAATATCACATTAAACCATTTAAGCTGTGTGTCCTTGAGCAAGTTCCTTAACCTCTCTGTGCCTCCATGTCTCTATCTTTAAAATGGGGATAATAGTTTAATGGTTCCTTTCTCACAGAGTTGTTGAGGGGATTAGTGTTAACATTTCTAAGTACAGTAAAACCTTGGATTGCAAGTAACTTGGTTTGCGGGTGTTCTGCAAGACGAGCAAACATTTCTAATACAGTTTCACTTGGTAAACGAGTGATGTCTTGCAATACGAGTAATTTCCGGAACGAATTATGCTCGCATATCAAGGTATTACTTAGGATAGTGGCAATTGGTAACTGTCAGTTACTGTTATATATCATCACCAGCATCCTTAGGTCCTGTTTAAAAATAAGTTGTACCTTTTCAGCAATTCGTTTGACTTATAGCAGGCTTAAGATAAGCATGATATCGGGGGTGGGAGGGCAGAGATGGGGGGAGGGGGGTTGTTACTTTGTGAGGGCGAAAAGGGTAACTATTGCATTGTTCTGTACACCTGAAACTAACAATAAAAAAAATTTTTTTTAAAAAGAATATGTGAGGATTAAAAATAACAAAACTCCCTCCCAAATAAAACCTAAATCAAAAGCAGTTAGTGGCAACTTTACCTGAAATAGGGCAGGTGTTTCAAAAAAGTTGAATTGAACCCTGGAAGCTAGCTCTACAACATTAGCTGGTAAATTACTCAGCAGTGATGAAGGCAGAGTAATAACGCCAATACTATTCTCAGGAGCCTCAGTTTCCAGAGAAACCTGAAAATCAAGTGAAAGATAATAAAAATATCTGGGGCTAGCATAAGGAGGAGTTGGAAAACACACATAAGTAAGATGAAGGATCGTGTAGGAGCATTTATCTGTGGTGTCTCTCTGTATAATCGGTTCTTCCTGTTTCTCCAATTGCTGTGAAATTAGAGGGGATATATAATAGGGAGATGAGGCCTTGGAACAAGTAAGAAAACATTTTAAGGATACACAGAAACAGTCAGAAAGTGCAGGATATTATATGTCAATTATATCTCAATAAAGCTGGAGAAAAGAAAAGAAAGTATAGGGTAACTGCAGACCCCAGGGAGACCACAGCAGCGACACACCAATTGGGTGACCTGTTAGGGCAAAGTTTTCATAGAACCACATGCACTAAACTTGTAAAGGGAAGACTATAAAAATTAAAAGGCAAGACTTGGTTTTACTTGGGCATTTCCAGCCCCCAATCCCTCGGATAGGTAGATAGAAAACTCTAGGAGCAGGATTGATATTCAGCACCACTATTCACACCAGTGTAGTCATAACACTTGTTTAAATATTGGAATGGGTTGATAAGTAGCTGATATCCCCGCTCTCTCCCAACTAACTAGAACTCTCCGCTGAACACTTCCCCTACCTCACCCTCCCCAAACTTCCACAGTTCAGCTGCTAAAGGCTCAACACTGGTCACAACAACAACCTCTGAGAGCCTGCTCCAGCCAAGACCAATGTCCTTTTGTAGATTCTGTGGTGCCTCATTGTAGATGTTAAATATTTTGAATATCACACCTGTCTATAAGCAGTAATTGCCTCAATCATGAAGTACACAGGGACTGTAGCCATATACAAGAAAAAGCTGTTTCTAAAATAAATTAGGATGTACCTGAAGATTGGCAGGGTCTTGGGCAGCAAAGGTAGTTGTGTTGAAATTACTGGCATTCACTCTCATCACGGCCAGAGCCAAAGAAGGGGAGGTTAGACTTATGGTCTTGGTTGAAAAATTCAGCTGTAAGCCAATGTCATCCACTACTTTTAGCAATCTGTAAAGAGAAGCGGCAGTTCAGATTCAGCACTCCCTCCCACTTTGCTTTCCCCATTCTAGCAGAACACAGAGCAGCAACTTAACTCATGATGAACCTCATAGTGGGAGAAAGAATACTTGGCTATAATTAATCATGGAAGAAGCATCATTATCATTACAGGGTCAGTTTGCTAAGTCATACCTTTGAGCCAGTGGGGCCAGCAAGGCAGGTGGCGAATGGAGGAGTCTGCTGACTTGACTTATCATTTCTCCCCCGCGGTTAGGCTCCAGGCTGCCTAAGGACAGAGCTTTCTCCATCTGAGACACTTGCATCTCAAGATCAGAAACACTGATGCTGCTGGTGTGAACAATTTCTATAAGAGACAGCCAAATCACTTTATGAACACACAATGGAAAAATCACTAATAAACATACATAGACTCTGTGACCTGGCAAACCCATTCCTAGGGATTTGCCACAGGGCAATGAAAACATGTCTTAAAAGATTTGTTCGTGAATGTTTATAGCTGCCTTTTTCATGATAGTTCCAAACTGGAAACAATCCAAATGTCCATCAACTGGATAAACAGAATGGACAAACAGACTGGTCCGTCCATACAATGGACTATATTAATCAGTAAGAAAAAGGAGTGAGCTACTAATACATGCAACAACATGGATGAGTCTCCAATTCTCCAATGTATTATGTTAAGTGAAAAAAGCCAGACTCAAAGGGCTATATACTGTATGATTCTCTTCATATGACATTCTAGAAAACCTGAAAGTACAGTATCAGGAAACAAAACAGATCATTGGTGGCCAGGGACTGGGTGTAGTGGGTAAGGGATTTGACTACAAAGGGACATAGCGGGACTGTGGGGGTAGTGGAAGTGTTATTTATTCATGACTATGGGTGTTTATCCAACCTCATAGACGTATAAAATTTTCATTCATCCATAGCACTGGATGAATTTTATTGTATGTAAATTATACTTCAAGAAACCTAACTAAAAACATGTAAAAGCACATCAGGGTATTTAGTGTATATTCATACAAGCATAAATATACTTGTATTTAATTTATATCCTGAGTACAGGATTTTATGTGGGTAACTAGAAGCACTTTTTGTGGAAAAGAGAATATTATAAAGTTAATAGCTGAACTACCAGCTGCAAGCCTGATTTTTAATAGTGTTTTTCTTTTGAAGCTAAACTGAATAGTATTTTAAATTGGGAAACAATGATACAAACCTGTCTAGCAAAAAAAAGTCTCTTAATTTTACCACCTAACATCCTATTTCTTTTTCTAATCTTTATCCATGTGTCATAACGTACTGTTATAAACATGGTGTGCAAACTATTTTTTGTATCCCAAGACTTGAAAAATGTCCCCAAGTTTTTGTCTAGCTGTTCTTCTGCCTGGCTGTGTAACAGTGACTGTGTTATATGAGTCATTGTGAGACTGTCGTATTTCAGCATTCCTCTCTTGCAGAACCATTAAGTTATCTCTACTTTGTAGCTACCAGATAATACTCCAACACATCTTTTATGCACATGTTCCTCTGCTTCTGTTGTCTCATTGCCTGAAACCCAAGTCCCGGGAATAGAAGCATAGATGCAACAGGCCAGTTAGCTGGCCTTTCTGTGTAACCTGTTTGGTTGATTCTAAAGGGTCAATGGGGATAGTTTTGGAAAGGTGAGCATTTTAGACCCAGGCTAATGAACTTCAATTTTACTTTATTCTTCACCAGCCATTAAACTTTCTCTTCACTAGAGCCTCAGTGAGGCTCTAATTTTTTTGGCCTAAAATGTTCATATTTATTTAAAAAATTATTTATGAGAGAGTAGTGAAAATTTGAGGAAATATCAAGTCATTTGGCAGAAGTTCTAAATCTCCTGAGGATATGTAGTGGCACTGTGAGGGAGGAGGCAGGGACCACGACCTGAGCACCAATCACATGTCACCAAGAATATGGCTTTGTCTCACACCACCCAAATTTTAGAGGAAGACATGCTCTTCACTTACTGAATTGAAACCCTGGAGAGTATCCAGAATTCTTTCTGCTACCTTCCTTCTTCCCTTTATCCTTTACCCCAATCCTACTTTGTGCCCTGAGACCCCCTTTGCAATTTCCATGGCATTCTTATGTACAAGGTCTGACAATTAAGTTCATGAACTCATCTTAGAAAAAGTGCTACATACCTCACTGCTGAATATCACTATGGTCACCTTCGAAGTACTCCCCTTGGGAAGCTATGCACCGATGCCAGCACCTAGTCTACCCTTCAAAGCAATTTTGGAACTCTTTTTCTGGAATGGCCATGAGAGCTGTTGTCGTATTACCCTGATATCCTGAATGTCATCAAAATGTCTTCCTTTCAATATTTCCTTTATCTTCAGGTAAAGAAAGAAGTCATTGGGGGCCAGATCAGGTGAGTAGGGAGAGTGTTCTAATACAGTTATTTGTTGACTGGCTAAAAACTCTCACAGACAGCGCCATGTGAGCTGGTGCATTGTCGTGATGCAAGAGCCATGAATTGTTGGTGAAACGTTCAGGTCGTTTTCGTCTTTTTCACGCAGCCTTTTCAGCACTTCCAAATAGTAAACTTGGTTCACTGTTTGTCCAGTTGTTACAAATTCATAATGATATCAAAAATGGTTAGCAACATGGGTGCAACGAGTTGATGAACTTAATAGTCAGACCTCGTATGCCATTGTTCTCAGCCTAGCTGTTAGTGTGATTATTTCCATCTTTAAGTAGAGCAGGCTGTGTTAGGAGGAGCTAAATGGCTTATGTCAGATCACACTGCCTGCGAGGGCCCATGCAGATCCATGCCTAGGGCTTCTGAGTGTTTCCTTCCTACTCGTGGCTTCCTTGGCTCAGTCCCAGCTCTGTCACTCTGTGACTGACTGATTTTCAAGAACACCAGTTTTTTCTTTTGTCTTCTGTCTGAATGGAGTTATCGCATTTAACAGTTGAAAAGTTTTCTCTTCAGAGAAAACAGTGATCCAAAAAACCTTTTGCAGGAGAAAAGTAACCTATAAAATAACTCATCTTGATAAAATGAAATCTGTGCTTGCCTCAGAGCTATTTCTCCACTCTTGGTCAAACCAGTTACACTCAGCCATATCTATGTTCTATGAATGCCTGAATGAAAGCTCTCGAAATCAAGCCAACATCAGAAAAAGAAAGGCTCAACATGATCTTATTACAGATACAGTAAAACCTTAGATTGCGAGTAATATGGTTTGTGGGTGTTCTGCAAGATGAGCAAACATTTCTAATACATTTTAACATGGTAAAAGAGCGATATCTTGCAATATGAGTAGTTTGTTTCCAGAACTAATTATGCTCGCAAACCAAGGTATTACTGTATCTCGATTTGGCAGGCCGGCAGCTGCGTTTCAGGTATTATAACAAACCACTGCTCTATTTCAGGTGTTCAGGATTATAACAAACATAGAAGCAAGCAGTTTGGCACCTCATATTTACCTGTCTTGTCAGGAGGTGTGTTGGCCGTGATGACATTCATAGGGGCAGATGCGGTGGGAGAGGGACGTGAGGATTTCACAGGTGGCAGAGTGCGGGAAAGATCGGTTTGGGGCATAGGGGAAGAGATAGTTCCAGATGGGGAGAATATATCAATGGTAGGGCTAATGGGAGCTGAAGGCTGGGGAGGAGGAAGTTGAATCACTCCTGTTAGGCTCTGGGTGACAGGTCGATGATCTAGAGGCCCAACAAAAGAGAAGTCACTGGAGACCCGGGAAAGAACGGTGGCCAGAGGAGCAACGGGGATGGGCTTGCTGGAAGAAAATGGTGGGCCACGTGGATGACCAGCAAGACATATAACTGGATCCTGCAGGTCACTAAAGGAAAGAATCAGAGAGGTGCACATGAGACACAACTAAGCTACCGAGATGTGACTGTCCTCCTCTGGCAACCATCCTACACCACCCAGAAGCCCGGGCTGCACTCCAGACCAATGACACCATCATCTCGGAGGGTGGGAGGCAGGCATTGGTGTGTTTAAAATCCCCAGATGATTCCAACATGCAGCCAGAGCTGAAAACCACTGCTCTGTTGTCTAGACCCCTGCTACTCAAAGTGGAGTCCATGAACCAGCAACACTGGCTTCTCCTGGGAACCTGTCAGAAATGCAGACTCTTAGGCCCCACCCAGACCTACTGGATCAGAATCTGCATTTTAACAAGATCCTCAGTGATTGACATTTGCAGTAACATTTGCAAAGTGCTGAAATTGAAAGCCCTTATTCTCTGTCAAAATTCCAAAGTTCCTTAGCCAACATAGCCATGAAATGTTATTATTTTTTAGGAAAAGGGTTAGCATGTTTGCTACATACCACTGCAGTTTTTCTAACTCTTCTGGGGAGGAAGGGCAGGGTATTTGGACAGAACAGCAGCATTGTTCTGGAGGAGACAAAAGGAAAGAAGACAATGCATGGTCAAGAATAAGGCAAGGTAGAAGCTCAGACCCATGAAGTATTACAGTTGTTACACTGACTGCATTTTAAAGAGCATTTGTCTAAAGCAGGTGATAAAATAAATGGGATCCCAGTATATTGACAATTACATATACAAAGTAGGTGCTCAAAAATATCGAGTGAATAATTTTGGGGGGGTTATATGCATGCACTATCAATTGCTTTTCAGCAACTCCGAAGAGGAATTCAGAATTAAACAGATCCCGGCAGCAAGCGATTGAACATTCCAAATAGATTTCTCCTTCTCATCAGGGTTTATCATGTTTTCAAATACAGTCTACTGAAATTTTATGAAGAGAGCAGGAAAAATCACCTTTTAGAGCTCCCTAAAAACTGCCCAAGGACAAAAGAGTCAAAACAGAAAGCTGTAACATATGTAAATTTATTAACTATATTTTCAATTTTAAAAAGAACACATCAAAGCCATGTGAAAATGAACACAGCAGTAAAGATAGAGACAACTTACCTATCCGGTGAATCTTTACTCTTTTCAAAGCCACCATTATAGCACATATGTTCATTGTCTTATTCAATTTTATTGTGAATGTACAATTTAATGTGCTATAAAGAGAAATACATACAACCAGAATGTTATTAAATTGAAAATCTACCTACATATTTGTAATTGCTTTTTCAACCTTACAGTGAGGAAATGGGACAGTGACACTGTTAACTTACAATGTCACCTTGATAAGCTTGTAAACATCCACGTACCATGGTCTGAACTTTACCCAAAAGACTTTATAGGACAAGAAATTTATAGAGGTATACATTCACAGAGGTTGCAAACCAGAGCCCTCTGACCACACACAGCTGATGATTCACTTTTGCCTGCCCGCACAGTGAACAGGCCTGGGTGAAACTTGGCTGCAAAGTCAAGAATCTAGACAACAAGAGTCTTAGCCCCAGCTAGCTACTTGCGTGGCATCTGTAGGATTTAAGTTTCCATCATAGGAGCCCTTTCAAATGCCAGCCTAGATGAACATCAGTCTCTTAAATCCAAAATCTCTCTGGAGATTCAATCTGGATGCTCAGATAACTAGGCATTTAAGACATTCTTTCTATTCTCTCTGTTTCTTTCTACTTTAGTCTGGTTTAGGTGAAAAAAATGTTAATATTGCAAAGATCAAAAAAGAGGGAAGTGAAATGAACTAAATACATATAATGGACAGGGATTCACTGTGCAATTTCATGGAAGACTTGCCACTATTTGTACCAATAAATAGTTTGATGAGTAGAAATTGTCATTTTCTAGGACTTTCACTCTCACAGAATGCTCAGGTTCAAGTAGTGAGATCACTGATCTATGGCTATTGGTTTATGCAGCCAGGACAGCCAATGGACACAATTTAAAATGAGAATGTGTGCAACCTCAAATAATTGTTGGGCAATCTCTGATTCATCCCTGCATGCACTTTTTAATTTCTTTTTTTTCTCTTGCCAACCTTTTCCTTCCCTCTCTCTTTCTCCCAAGCTCCATATTGTGTTCCTTCTTCTCTGACTGTCCTTCTCCCTGACTGGACCAGTGTGAGCCATTTCTTGGTCATACTGGTGGCCCCTGGGGCTAAGGACACTGATGATCCTTAGCCTCACAGAACCAGAGGTCAGTGGCCTGACACCACTAACCCCTCTGTGCTTCATAAAGAAATGAGAAGATGGTTGTAACAGAGTGATGAGTGTTTGGAAGAATAAAAATACATATATCCAAAATGTCATTAATAAGTATTTATTTTAGAGGAACACCTTTGAATTTGCAACCTAAGTCTCCTCAATACTTTATTTCTCATGAGTAGAGTATTAATGATATTTATAAAAGTATTAAAAATCACTGACCTTTGAGCCTCTTCTGTAGCACACACTATAAAACAAGTCTGAAACAAAAACAAACAAAATATATATGTTACTTTGATAGTTGAAAATGTCAGACAAGACATCCAATTCACATCCCTACCAGATTCCTGACATATGATCAAATCTATTCAGGCTATACATGCTCTGCTTAGATACCTCTAGTGTCAGGGAGCTCACTACTGCACAAGGGAGCTCATTCTCCTGGAGCCCTAGCGTTAAGAAACTTTTGGTTTTACATGCAGGAAACTACACCTCCTTGCAATGTCCACCCACTGCACCTAGTTCTGATTTTTGAACTCATGGAACTAGTCCATTCACTCTTTTACATGACAAATTTGGGGCAAACGTAATACATATCTGCCCAGAAATGCAGAACTCCATGCGTTCCCCCAAATCACAATAATTGTAAACAAGGCACAGGGTGTGCTCTGATTTACCTCACTTAGAGTTTGCAGGGTTTTGTTGAGTTCTGATCGTCTGTTACTAGAACGAGAGAAATTGACATGAAGGAGATCATTGGTGGTGTTAGATTCAAAACAAGGTAGATTTTTAGCAAACACATTAAGCATACGGTATTTATTGCTTGCAGTGTTCACTTTGAAGGAACACTGGGTATAATAAGAGACTGCTATGTGGGAAAAATTAATCATTTATATGACACGGGAAACTAACCACACAGAAGCTGTATTGGTTCTAGCCAACAGCAAGATAGAAATTATGGTTGAACAATCTTGTTATTCATTAAGCTACTGCAGCCCCCAGGCAGCTTCTTCTGGCAGAGGGCCAGAGGAAGAGCTGGCTGCCCGAGGCAGTATTTCTGAGCGGAGCCAGCCACTCACCCCGAGGCTCTGGGCCTCTGATTTCCTCTTTATTCCCTCTCCAACTGACCCCAACTGCCCTCTAGCACTCTCCAGCCCTGCCTTCCCCTCCTCACAACTCCTCTTTAGGGCTTTCCCTCATTCCTCTCCTCTGATGGCACTTTCAACAATCAAGAACACTTAAAAAATAATAATAATTCAGTGGTTTTTATTATGTTCACAGAGTTGTACATCCATCTTTTATTTTTTTAGTGTGGCAGAGCTTCACATGAGGTTCGGATGAAATAAATCTAGTTTAAAAAGTCACTATAATGCAGTGGTTCTCAACTTGGGGTGACTCTGCCCGCCAGGGGACATTTGGCAATATCTGGAGACATTTTGATTGTCACAGTTAAGGGTGGGGTGCTACTGGCATCTAGTGGGCAGAGGCCAGGGATCTGTTACACATCTTATAATGCACAGGACAGTTCCACATAACAAAGAACTACCAGGCCCATGATGTCAATAGTGCTGAGGTTGAGAAACCCTGCTCCAAAACGAATGGGCAATAGTTAGTCCTAGGTGGCACCAGGGAAGGTCTGGAGGGAAGAAGAGAAAGATGGTGGCAATAGTCGTCAGCTTTTGGAGCTGTCAAGAGCTGCTCCTCCATAACTGTGCTCAGAGGCCACCTTTCTGGGGGGTTTTCCTGGCCCCTCCACTCAGGTATGACCTGCTCTAGGTTCAGATATTTAGAACATCCTTTGGTACCCTGTACATATCACTGTCATTGTAGGGATCGTACTGCGTTGTTATCGTTTGTTCTCATCCTGCACCTTTCCTACCAGACTCCAGACTCCCCATTCTCAAAGTGGCCTCATGCTGGAACCACCTGGGGAGCATTCAAAAGTACCGATGCCTGCATCTCAGACCCCAAATACTGATTTAATTGGTATGGAGTGTGCCCAGGCATCAGGGCTTTTAAAGCTCCCAAAGTGATTTTAATATGCAGCCAGGGCTGAGAATCACTGCTCTGGACTCAGTTTTCCATCTCAGACAGTTGGGTTTATCTCCACTTGTATCCCCAAGGCCCAGCATATAGTAGGTGTTCAACAAATGCTTGGTAGCTTTAAATGAACTCATCTATATTTTAAGTCTAGTAATTAAGATGAATTACTTACAAGTATGCTAAGTTGTGTTCTAGTTATAAATTTGAGAGTTTAAAAAATGTTTCCTATCACTATTATTGCCTCTCTGAAGTTTAAAATCCTTCCAGAACATTCATATCTCCTGCTTTTTATCTCACATATATACTTTGAATAGTTAGAAAAGCTAGATTTTCATCAGGAGGTAAAAAAAAATAGGCACATAGGACATGAACACCACCCCCGCCCATCCCAGTTCTCACTACTTCAACTTTTTGCATTATCAACTCAGTAGAGGCCTAGGGACGTTTGATATTCACCAGGTTGGACTCATGATGTTTCTCTTCACCCAGGCATCACTCAATCATCAGAAGCAGCCAGGTCTAAATACTAATTGAAAGGATGGCCCTTAAGAACAGTTTTGTTTTGTTTTGACCTAGAAAAGGTTTTTCTCTTCAGTGCCATCACAGATACTTTGGATTTGGTTCAAAAGTTTACGCAAACTTCATTTGAGAGTAAATGAATTTCATCTCTGATGGTGCTTCCCTGCCTTGAGGACAAAGCCATGGTCTCCCGTCCCAATGACAGGCTAAGACTGTCTCCTGGCCTAGGTCTACCTGCTAGCTGACATTTTGGCCTGTGGTCTAACTGAGGGCATCTATTTCTAATGTAGTTCTCATGCTTGTCCTTGTAAGCTGAGGTCTACTTAACAAAGACGTCTCTCTCTGATTTTGAATCACTGATGCTTCATGAACAAATAGTATACAAGGAATCTCACATTGAATTTTTTTTAAGCAGAGCCATCCTGCCACCTGTTGGCAGCTCAGCAGCTGCTCAGCTCGGGCCAGGAATCAAACCGCTATTGCTCAGAGCTCAAACTCTTGAGCTAGTTCTTAACCAACTGAGCCACTTGGCCGGCCCTTACCTTGAATTCTCTTTTAACCTTGCTGGCTACCATATCATATTACAACTCAAATCCAATTTAAATGGAAGTCTCACATAATTTCATAGCAAAGAGAAGAGCATCATGGGGATATTAGCTGATGACAGGTGACTATGGTTATAGTTTACAAAGAATTCAAGAACCAATTCTCTATAACCTTTGGGTCTCTCTCTTTCCTAGTCTCAGTTTCCAGAAGAAATAGCGCTCAGCAAGCATCTTTCCATAGTCAAGGTCATAAGTTTCAAATCAAACAGCAGATTACTCACTTCAATTCACTTAGCAACTGGATTCCAGTTAAGGTGCCATTAGCCATATTTGGATTCTGTTAGAAGTAAAAAATCATTAAGAATACAAGAATGTTGTTTTGTTTTGTCTTTTTACACTCTTTAACAAGAAGTCGTTCTTCAGTTTTGTTGGCCACCCAAAGACCTACACCCTAAAGACTTTGAATACTGACTGCATGGAATACTATCTAGCAAATGATCAAATCCATATTGACCGAGCCAGTTTTTGTTTTAATGTTTTCTTTTTAGAATACTCTGAATCAGCAAGTGTGATGTGCTAATCTCTGTCTTTTGTTATTCCTATAAAATAACACTATTAAAGCTCTCTCCATGAAACGTCCGAGATTGAAGTAAAAGATCCCAGTGTAAAAAGGGAAACTTGATAGCAGCCATTGCTACATTTCTAGAACCTAGCTCATTGCCTGGCACATAGTAAGTACTCTGGAAATAGTCACTGAATGAACAAACCACATTTATCTGGGATCCTCTGAACCAATCTAGGTTATGTAAGGCTGATACTTCTGTATCCTAACCCCCCATAGGGTGAATAGGATCAGATTCAGAAGACTGTTCGTAGATTCAATACATATTTCTTGTTGTTAGGAGTTTCTAATATAATTTTAAAATTTGACTGGTAATAGAATTGCATCATATAAACATTCTTATCCAGCAGCAAATCTAGTGAAAACTAAAATATAATCATTAACAAAATACCATGATTATTATGTAGTCAAGCCTTCTTAACAAAGCTAGGGATTCAATAACATTTTATTTAAATTTGATTATAAAAGTAAATATGCCAAATATATAAACAATCTCAACCTTAAACAAATCTTTAAATACATGTGAATTCATTTTTTAAGATTGCAATAAGAAAAATCTTTAAAACCTACCTGGGTAACATTGCTTTCTTCGTCATATTGAAACATTATCTCACCTCTAAAAAATGCTAAAAATAAATTTTCAAAAAGTAATGAGACTTGTATCCTTAGAGGTTGAGGATTAATACAACACAGAAAAAGATGATCAAATTACTTTATAAACAAAGTTTTGTCAAATTCTTTGTTGTAATTCACATTTACTCTCTTTTCTATCAGAAAGTTACTCAATATAATTTTCAGAAAATATGAACTATAGATTTGATGTAGGAATGCAGAAAGAGAACACTTTTCCCTTTTCAAGAAATTTTATCCCTACATGCTTCTCATCAGAACTTTGTTTCCCGTAAAGAAGCTAACTTGGGGGAACTGTGGCTTTAAAGTTAATGTTTTTAAAAAAATCTTTTAAAGTTGTTATAGTTTCAGTTACATAGGTAAGGGAGGGAGAGAAAAGTGTTTCTCGGCAATTTAGCAGCCTTATGCAAGTTCATTTATTCCATGCTAATGTTTTTGTTTTTCTCTTTTTGAAAATACAGCAACCAAATGCAGTATATTTCCCAGAAACAAAGTTGAGATTTTGCTTTGAAACCTGAATAGAGTGCAGGGCACATTTTTTCTTCAGTTGAACAACTGGTTTTGACTTTCATCCCAGAAATGCCAGAAAACCCTGTTCCTAAAATGCTCACTTTGGGAAATAGTGAAGTCAATTTCAGTAAAACTATTTCCTGTAGGGTACACTTGGAGGGGCTTTGACTGTATCTGGAAACAAATAAAACAGAAATCCCTTAACAGAAATACCTTGTATGCACTTCATAATCTAGAGATTAAAAAAATGGCCTCTTGAGCAGAAAGGCAAGGATGTCATTTAAACTATAACAGGGATCAGCCAACCTTTTTGTGAAACATCAGATAGATAGTAAATATTTGAGGTTTTGTGGGTCATATGGTCTCTGTTGAAACTACTGAACTACTCAACTTTATGGTTGTATGTAGCGCAAAAGCAGTCATAGACAATACATAAATGAATAGATGTGGCTGTGTTCCAATAAAACTTTATTTACAAAAACAGGTAGCAAGCTGTATTTGGACTATAGGCAGTAGTTTGCCAACTCCTGAGCTAGAGGGTTGAAGGCCTTCTCATTCTCATCTTCTTTTATTGCACCCCAACGTACAACTGATTCCCAGTGGTCCACTTTCACTTAAATGGCCAACAAAGCCACTAGACCAGAGATTAACGTGATTTGTCTATTCCAGCAACTTTTCTACTGAGAACTTGAACTTCTACATATTGAAATTTCAATTATTATAGTACATAATTATTAAAAGTAAAGATACTTGATATATGCATGGAATTATTTATCCATTTTTGAAAAAAAATCTGTGTATGTGCTGACACCCACAATTTCTCCCCGTCATCTCTCTAGTCTCCAAGTTCATCATTCAGTCTTGTTGAGGGTATGTTGAGTTTCATAAATGTGCTGGGAGCACAGTGGTAGCAGAGCAACCAGGAAGCCGCCATTTTTTGACCCTCAGCCTAACTCTTCCTGGTCATCTCCAAGTTTCTTCACTATCCTCTATTTCCCCTAGTGAACCCAGATTAGAACCTGCAAAAAGTGAAGGTTTCTAGTTTCTGGCAGGATATCGTGGAATTTCTGGTACCAAAAGAGTTGGTCCCCTAATGAGGTTGTTTTCAACAGACACTAAAACAAATGGTCAATCCAGTCACTTAATTAGGGAAAACATTACTCCAACCAGCTTTCTGGCATCTGTTATTCAAGATGACCAGTTTTTTTTTTACTAAATGTTCAATTTTCAAACAGTTATCAAACATCATGTAGACACAACACTAAAGTAGACATTAGTCACCAGTCCAAACATAGATGAAGCAAAAAATAATGAAATTATGGAGAATTCAATAAAGAGAAGGGTAAGAGAGGAGGGAAGAAGGAGGAGAGAAGAGAGAGTTACACAATATATGAAAGTGAAATGTATCCAGTGAAGTTTTCTTTCTTTAATCAAAACCAGCTAATATTTTCCTGCTATATTCTACCAGCATACTAGCAGCAGAAAGCTCATATAAGCAAATCTGACACTCACACAAATAGAAAGTGTGGAACATTCTTTCAATAGAAAGTTTTCTTCTTATCTAAACTATCCAACCTTAACTGATTTTACTTGATATTGTTCCCTATGTTTTTCAAACAAATTATTAAAGCATTAAAGAGAACAGAATAAAAGGAAAATACTCCTCTAATGATTGTTTCTTTTTATATCAATGCAGTCACTAAGATTTAATAGTATAAAATATTACCTTCCTTTTCTCTCTTGCTATGATCCAGTTCTAATATACCACACCATGTTCTTCTGTTTTTCACATCTGCTCTCATTGGTTTTAACAAGGAAGGAAGCCCAGAGAGCCAAACCAACGTGAGAAAAGTGGTTATTTCATTCCTTCTGGCCCACGGCAGAAGGGAAAATATTCCCATTTCAAAAATAGCATGTTCTCAAGAGATTTCCAATTCAAATTTTAAAAATAGTGGACAGTCTTAGCTAGAGATGGCAAAATACACTATGGGCGCTACTGGAATTAGCATCCAATTAGACCAGGTGTATGTGAGGTTTTCAGTATTAGTAGAGTGGTTTGCTTTATTTTTAGCAAAAGACAACATTCTGTTTCTAAGCTAGAATACTTAAGGTCCTATTGAAAAGCTCGAGGGATTTTCATACAAGAAGTGGCTTTCAGTAATTAAGTTCATTATTAATTATGTTCATAATCAACTCTAAGGGTATTAGTTATGGATTTAAAGCTATAGTGAAAAATATTTGGTGTAGAGCTTCATGTTCTCATATTAAAGAAGTTAATCCATCATCTCACTAGGCAATGGGAAGATAATTTCAGCCAGCTCTAAAATTTGCTTTTGTTTTCATTGGTACTTGGAGTAGCCAGGTGGTATGAAAAGAGACAGATCAAAGAGGCATACATCACATACTCAACAGGAGAAAGACAACCATTTTTCTCTGTGGAGCTAATTTATCTGGTAACACGTTATGCACAAGAACTAACCTGAGTCATTGCAAATGGATGACAAATTGCAGATATTTCTCTGAGGTTTGACTCCTGCAAAGAAAATACAACCCAGCAGGTTAAGCATGCCAACACCTTCACTTATGTACTACATTGTCAAGAGAATTCATAAATTTAGGTATCAAATGTGGACCAAAAATATACGTTGGATATAATTGGTTGGATGAATTCCACAAAGACTGAAGGAATGAGAATTTTCATTTCTTAGTTGGTTAGCTATAGAACTTGATTCTTTAGTATGTCAGTGGTTGATCCTCTACTTCTCCCTAAAATGTCTTTGTCCCATTCCCAATGAATCCCTCCTCTGTGCAGTATAAACAATGCATTATGAATACAAATTGAGCATAGAGGCTTTAAATGAAAAAGGCCTTACTCATAAGATTCTCCTTTCTTTCTGGGTAGGGGAGTACATGAACAGTCTAATGCTGGCCTTAGCTCCTTATGCAAATGTATTATGAAATAACATCAGTGTCATGATATCATGTCACATGGGCAAAAATTACAAAATTCAAAAAATATTTGCTGAGTGCCTACCATATTCTACAGGCTTTGGGAGGTTCTAGATACAGACCCTGCCCTCAACGAACTTATAATCCAATGCGTGATACTGGCCAGTAAATAAAAAGTTATAGTGAGGGCAAAATGGAATGATGGCCAGGACAACAGACCACACAGGCGTACGCAGGAGGCAGAGGTGAATGGTAGATGAAATAAGCCATGGTAGAACAAAACACTTCATGTATATTAACATGAGAAACACTTTCACCTTTGGTGAAAGGAAAAGTACATCTCTTCTTTGACTTGAAAAGAGCTCAAGGTTTACTACTCTAGGAATCTTCCCTTCATTAATTTCATCCTTTTAGCAGAGTATAAGAAATCTATAGTAAATGTGAGGGGCAAATGCTGCTAATGTATTAAGCAAACTTCCAAGGGGAAGAGGTTGTTATTTTAAGGAATATTTTGGTCTCCTTGTTAGGTCTGGTTTAGTTGGAATTATGTATGCAAAGCCTGACTGCTACTTTATTTCCATTGTACTTTGTGAGCGCAATTCCTTCCTAAGAGAACTAGTTTGGACACAAACTAAAATTATAATTTAAATTAGAGTGTTTGATATGGTTTCTGCCAGAATTATTTAGTTGATGTTTGGTGTATAAGAATTATGGTTTAGCTAAAAGTTTTGATTCTGTGAACAAACTGAATTAAGGTGCCAAAAGTTACCTGACATGTAGATCCCTACATTGTTCCTATAGATTCCTATATTGTTACCCATGTCAAAGAGAAAGATTTCATTTTAAATATACTTGCTTATGGATATGACTCACTAGAAATGTACACTACGAAATTATACAATATATCAATGGTGGGTAGTAATGCTTTAAACATTTTTTACAACCATTGGTCTGTTGCTTCCTAGCTTTTCATTCTATCACATCTCATCTTTCTCTAAATTTTAGTGGTACCTTCGTTTCCAGTAATGTGTGTTTTTTGCTGCTCACTCATACTGAGAGTTTTCTTTCCTATTGCTATAGGGCTGTTATTTGTAATTTCCCCCAAGTACATGGCCACAGGTTGTCCTTTAAATCATGAGTGAGAAAACTTTGTCTGTAAAAGGGTTGAATAGCAAATATTTTAAGCTTTTGTGGGCCATATAATCACTGTCACAAAAGTAGCCATAGACGGGGCCAGCCGAGTGGCACGATGGTTAAGAACTGGCTTGGGATGCCAGAGGGCCCCAGTTTAGATCCCACATATGAGGGCCAGTGACACTGCTGTCCACAGCTAAGATGCTGAACAACAGCTCAACCTGGAGCTGGGCTGCTGTGAGTCGCCTGCGACAGCATAGGCTGCAGCCCCTGTGGCAGTGGGTTGCCATGGGCTACTGTATGTAGCCAGCAGCCAGCGTGAACAGCCAGCAGCTGCAGTGAGCAGCCATCCAGAAGCCGACGACTGATCTGCCTCGCCCGGGAAAAGCACAATGATGGTGCCAACTTGGGCCAGTGAAGCAACGTCCTCCACAACTAGACTGAAGACCAAAACGACAGCAACTTGTCTGTTCCCCTTCCCCCAATTCCCCAGCACTGTTCCCATCCCCCCAATTCCCCAATAAAAATCTAAAAAAAAAAAGTAGCCATAGACAATATGTAAAAAAATGGGCATGGGCATGACAGTTTTCCAATAAAACTATTTTTCAAAACTGGTAGTGGCCCATAGGTCATAGTTTTTCAGCCCCTGCTTTAAATCAACTAGAAGCCTTTGTTAAGCATATCGTGTATCCCTAATCTTGCAGTAGGTACTTAAAAGTACATCCCATTTTTTTTACTTAAAAAGAGTTTAAGGATCACTCCTTTAATAATCTTCCCTTCATAAACTGCATCCCATTGATAAGCCTCAGTTCTTCTATCTCCCATGCCTCTTAACCATGTCAGAAACACTTGTGTAATCATTGCCTTTATCTACATACATGTTCATGTTAATTATCTGTTTGTTGGCTTTGTCTCTCCCGTAGACTAGAAGATTCTTGAGGGTGGGCATTGTGTCTAATCATTGCTAATATAGCCCCAAACACTTAGTAAATGTCAGGTACCCAGTGCATAAATATCTATTCAGTAAGAACAGATTTCATTTTTAAAAGGTAGGAACAAAGAGAAAGAAAACATTAACACCAGTCATTTGTTTAATTTTACTTTAGTTATAAAAAAAGAAAGTCTTGATATTGATAATAAGCCATACCTGATGCATTGAAGGTTTTTACTATAGTGATTTTAGTTTTTTCTGCAAAGAAGCAATTTAAATATTAGAGTGGAATTGTTGCTTGTTTTTCAAAAAACAATTTGCCATGAGTACCATTGTAGTGAAGTGGTAAGAAAAGCATACTGTTGACACCGTTGACACTCTTGGTCATCTCAGCAGCAGAATGAATGGGAATCACATACAGATCATACAGCATTGGTGTAGGGTGGGTCTGGGACTTGGATTCCCATGTTTACCCAGTTAGAGCACACCCTTACATACCCGACTGCTTGTGGAATTCTACTGCAGTTTTCATGTGCTGCTGCTAGACAAACTAATGTGCACTTACACTTCAGATATGTGGAATTAAGTCACTATCAGAACCTTTAGTGATAGGTTGTGAAGAGCAGGTGATTCAGAGTAAATATTAATGGAAACAGTAGGGACAGGATCTAAAATATTGCTACTATACCCCACAATCAAGGAAGTGTCCTATTTTCTCTGAGTTAATATTATCCCCATTGTATTATAGATAAAATTATTCTCAGAGAGGTTGAGACTACCCAATTGAACTGTTCAAAGTCAATGACTCATAGGTAAATATTAACACATTCTGAAGAAGCAAACATAGAAATATCTTTCCAACACACTTTAGGGACAGAGCCCATGGTTCATTTCCTAGATAATGGAGAACCAGGGTCGGAAATCTTTGCTGTAAGGATGGCCAATTAGAAGAGGCTGTGTTCAGGGCACAGATTTGCAAAGAAGCTCCATCTCCTAGGGTGAGTGGCAAATTGTGAAGAAAACACAAAGCTCAGATCTTAGAGAACGATTATGTTAAGAATGATGATGTTATACTGACAGTTTCAGAAACCTCATTAGTATATGTGTTATGTTGATGAGTTTCTGTTTCAATGTGTAACTGACTCATGGGCAGTGATTGGTGGTAATTATAGAGGCTGATAACATTTTGCATTATCATTAAGAATCCTTTAAATACATTATTTTGTTTGACCTGATACTTTCATGTCCAGAGCAAACAATACACTTCTGTAAAATGAACTTCTGGTTCTAGTAACAAAAGTGCTTTTTGGGGAAAAATGTATAACCTCACTAATAATCAAGAATGCAAAATAGAGGGGCCGGCTGAGTGGCTCAGTTGGTTAAGAGCTCGCTCAAGAGTTTGAGCTCTGAGGAACAGCGGTTCGATTCCCGGCCTGAACTGAGCTGCCGCTGAGCTGCCAACAGGTGGCAGGATGGCTCAGCTAAAAAAAAGGGAAAAAAAGAATGCAAAATAGAACCTAAGGAACTGAGAGAAATAGTTCATAATATATGATGTAGACCCTGCTCTCAGCAAAGGTGGAGTGACACAGACATTCTCATCCACTGCTGGCAGGAATGTTGCTGGGTACAACCTTTGTAGAAGGTAAGGCAGTAGGTATCAAGGGCCTTAAAATATCATAATGCTGACCCATTAAGTCCAATCCTTGGAATGCATCCTATGGAAATCAGGGATGACTGCAAAGATGTTGGCCCAAGGATATTTATTGAAACAATTCCTATTAAAAAAGTAGAAACAACTCTACTGGTAAACATATGACACACAATGCAATATTATCCAGTCATTAATAGTAAGGACATTGGAAAATACTTATAATTTAATATGAAGTCAAAAGGGCAAGATATAACAATCTATGTAAATTATGACTATTTTATAAAAGCTACATGTATATATGTGTATATGATACTGAATGGAAATATACCAAATTATTAACATTAATAGTCTTAGGAAAGTAACATTAAAGATTAATTCTATTTTCTTCTTTGTATTTTTCTATATTCTCCATATTTATGAGCTAAGTAAGTTATATTACTATTATAATAAAAAAATAACAAATGTCATTTTAAATGGAGTGTTATGGTTATAGCAGTTTGGAAGTTCAAGAGTGTGGTGACACCAGAATTATAGTCAATGTCAAAGTAAAACAAGAATAAATCAACAGTTGAAGGTACAGGAAATGAGCAACAAGATAATCTTTATTGACACAAAAGACCACACAAGTGAGAAACAAGGAGCCACAGAAGACAAGCTATTATATTTAGAAATAACTTGATATTACCTGTCTTGTTCAAAGTAGATAACACACTCAACGTAGCATCTGAAATAAAATAACAAAAATTAGGCTAACTATTGGCATGATTTATAAATACGTACATCTTCCTAGGTTCCTTAAACATTTCACTTTTCCCCAAATCCTGGAGAAGTTAGAAAATTTTGTAAAATCCACCTGACACTACCAAATGTATTTGCTGCCCACCCCCTCACCACACTATCCATTCTCCAACCCCCAGAGACAATTTCTGAGCAAGTATTCATTCATTCAAAATGTGCTTCCTGAACATCAGTTACGTGTCTAACACATAGCAACACTCCAGAATTATTAGATTTAAATAAACTCATTTATTTAGTTTAATATTTTGTCCCTTTTTTCTCTATTATAATTAAAGTTCCTAAGGGATATGATATTCCCACAGTTAATTTATAGCCTAATTTTAATATATAGTCCTGTGGATGCTTAATACATTTTTACCTAATGGTACATTCTTATAAAAGTAATTCTAGTTTAAATTTGGAGTTCTTGAACATTCAACTTTTAGGAAAATCTCATTTTCATCTTGTTTCACTTAAAATCCAATTTAAAATCTATTCAATTAATATTTATTTTAATGGAAATCATTCTAGAATTTATTATTCTGAATGAAACTTTAGGGGGAAAAAAGGGATGTATTACATTATCACACTTTAGAAAAAACCCACATAAGATTGGGTCCAAGAACTACTGCCAAAACTATTTTGAAGATGTTCTTTCACTGTAAAAAGTAATTGCACATAAAAATGATAATGCTGGGCGCTTCCCGTTGTACCCAAATTGAATTTAAACCAGTTTCTATCAGTGTGAGCTGCATCTATGTTTGGTTAGCTCTTTAACTATCAACCACACGGTGAGATTTTAACTAAGGGATTGTGAAAAGTGTTTGGTTTTGACTGTAATAAGATGGAAGGCTTTCTATCCACAGAGAAGAGGGAACAGAGTGTGCTGCCCTGCCCACCACCCTTGAATACAACCCTGTTCTTTGCCCTTTTCTCCAGCATCATGATGAAGCCAGTTTTTTTTAATACTATTTTAAAATTGATAAAATCACCTGTAAAAAGGCTGTCTTGGAACACTCTGTGCCTCCAAATACATTCTGAATCATATTGAAGTCACTGGATGTGCTTTTCACATTTAAACACTCTGTCATATAAAATGTGTTGGGATTGTGTTGGCGAGCAAGTGAAATAGGGTACGCAAAATGTGATCGATATTTGTTTTCTTTTACAGGACAGTTAAAGTGGTGAGAGCTGTCCTGCCTCCACGATAATAAGAATTTTATCATTTAACCAGAAAGTTTAGGTTGCTCTCCAGGGTTGACAGTCTTGGGTTTTGGTTTATTTATTTAGTTTTTTGGTTATTTGATTATGGAAACCTTATACACCATTCATTATACTTATACGCATATTCATATTAAGGGGTATCAATTTTCACTTGCTTCAGAAAAAATTCTTACCATTTAGACTTGTAGTTTCAACCTCTTTTGTCCCGAGGGAAAAAACAATACAAAGATACAGTTAAATCAATAACTTAACAAATTGGGCTAAATCTAGATTTAAATTTTTTCAAAATCTTGCCTGAAGTACCATTGGAGTAAGGAACCAAACCAATAAGAGATGACTTAGCTGCAGGAGAAAAAACAATAACAACATTTTCAAATTAATACTTTGAAACAATTATTTATTGAATTTTCAGGAGTTAGACCTTTTGAAATGTAATTATGAAAAGGAAGTGGAAAATAGGCTATCAGACTAATATGTAGTTAAACCTGCAAGTCCCATGATCACTCAATGAGTATACATTTAATCAGAGAATTGTAGAGAAAAAACCTAAGAGATGAAATGAGTGCAACTGTCTCATTTTACAGATGAAGAACCTGAAACTCATGACCACAAAGCCTGCTCCTACCTAGGAATATTATGGAAATAAGTTTAGGAACCACAACAAAATATGAGACATACCACTTTCTAATTTTTTTAGCCAGAGGGTTCTAGAAAACATTTTATACTTTAAATAATTTGTTGAACTACGATTATGAAACATATTGGCACGTTGGCTCCATTCTGTTATAATGACACCTGGCAACTCTTTCCATAGTGAATTTAGGATTAAAAAAACATTGCTATCACTCAATACTGTACTACCTAACACAATGTCCTGGTAAGTTATTTTAAAGCATGGCTGCTATTAATCAATCAAGTTACAAATTTACTGTGGAACAACACCACTTACACTAAGAGGTCAGTCTACTACACACATTTTGCATGTTTAAATATTTTTAAAAATCCAATGACTTGACCTCTGCCTATACAAAAGAAAAGTAAACATAGACATTTTACAACAAAAACAAGCTTTGCAGTAGGGATCCTGATATTCAGCTGGTAAGGATGACATTTGGGTGTGTCAAGGCGTTTGGCTGGCCTGTCTGTTTTAGAAGGCTCACGCCTTGGCTGAAACACACACACACACCCTGTCTGTCCTACTTATTCATTCCATATCTTGTCACTTACTAAATTAAAAAAAATTACCAAGGATATTTCTTGAGAAGTAAGACAGTTCCTGAGTGGTAAGATTCAAAGTGCGGATATGGAATCTTTTGCTTTTGGGGCAGAACAAAATAATTGACCAAAACTGGTTTTTAATTAATGGCTATTAATTCTTCTGAATGTTGATAGATGGTGATGCCATCCAAAGAAGAGGCCTGTGGGCACAGCCACCTATCCATCCCTGACGTACACTGGCTCTTACCTTCCAGTTAGTGCAGCTCACCCATAGGGCACCCAGAGCCCAGGCTGTAATTGGAACCAGTGTGTGGCTCAAAAGCCCCATATCCCCATCCATTCAAACAAGATTTTGCAAAGATATCACCATGATTAAGTCTAATGAAGGCTACTGTACCAGAAGAAAAATGCCATGGTTCATTTTAACCTAGAAGCTTAACAATGAGGGAGCAAATTGGCATAGTAAAAAGAGTTTGAGCTTCGGAGGCTTGCAGTCCTGGGTTTGAATCCTCACCCCATTACTTAATAACTCATAATAATGACAGTTATTACTTATTAAGGGTGTACTCTGTACCACACACATGTGTTATCTCATGTCATCTTCACAAAGAATTACCCTACGAAGCAGGTATTGTTATTATTCCCAACTTACAGATGAAGAAACTGAGGCACAGAAAGGTGAAGGTACTTGCCCAAAGTTACACAGCTAGCAATGTGGGTAGGAGGGTGGTGACTAAATTCAAACCCAAATAGTCTGGCTCCAAAAAATGTGTGATCATGAGCAAGTTTTATCCTTTCTGACCCTCAGTTTCTTCATCTCTAACATGAATAGAATGATTCTTATGCTGCAATATTGGAAGCAAAATGAGATGTCTGAAAACTCCCAAGCATGTAGTGTGTGCATGAGAAGTAATAGCTATTGTTTTGTTTCAATGAATTAATAACAGAAGCTCATTTTCACACAACTCAGGATAAAATGTGAGTTGACTCCTTCCCACAAAAGATTATTCTGTAATATATTGGTATACCAGAAAGAATACAGAAGTAAGAGTCAGGGAAGCCATGTGTTGCCTCTGTGTGATGTGGGGCAAGAAGCTGTGTGACGTTAGACAAGTTACTCAGCCACGGCAGGCTTCACTATGTCATCAACTAAGGGATGGGGCTGGACCACTTTATCTCTGAGGTTCTGTTCCAGCTAGTAGTCTCGAATATGGGCTCTGTTCCTGGTTCCCGCCAAGATGAGTCCTAGTTATAAGTTCTCTTTAATTTATTTACCTTGCCAGTCTCATGAGTGCTAAGCCCTTAGAAGCCTTTTGAAAAATATTCGCTCGGTAAGGTAATGAGAATGTATAAAAGAATATCTCATCCCTCAAATACAAGAACATTCAGCATATTTATGTTCTTTTTCTTTTTCCTACACCCCTACCTCTGGCAACCACCATTCTGTTTTCTGTATCTGCAGGTAAAGGGTTTTTTTTTTAATTCCATATATAAGTAAGACCATAAGGTGTCTTTCTCTGACAGTCTCGATGTGACTTCTTTATATCCTTAGTTATAAAACTTCTGTTCAGCCAGACATCAGATGGTTCTCCAGGTCGATTGTGCTATAATTTGGTTGTAATTTTAATGTGGTCACGGGATGAGGCAAGCACAGCGTTTATCTACATATTTATGTTCTTAATGCTCTTCAGGAGACTTGGGAGCTAGAATGCTAAAAGTAACACCGAAGAACTTAAGCAATTACCATAATGAAAATCCCAAATGTACTCCCCAGCTTTGTTTAGCAATACGATGAAACAAACATGCCTGTCCTCTTGCCTATGTCTGCTATTGACTTTTCAGGTGTGGGTTGAAAGACAGAATTTAATGTAGTTATGTTTTATGGGGGGAAAACATTTGCTGTATCTGACTACACGCCATACGTATTGCATGGAGAACTTTTAGAATATTTTCCTGAAATTCCCCAAAGTCACGAAATAACAATCTTACCAGATGGTAATAACAAACTGAAATTATCAGGATTCCCTGTTGAGGAAAAAGGTGAATTAAAATTAGTTTAGTTTGTGCATAAATTTGTAGGAGATTAACGTCTTTAATGGGAGTGAATGTAAAATGAGTTGCAAATAGCTACCAACAGAGGGCAGTATGTTAATTTACTATTATTTTCAACAGCTTAATCATTACTTCTTTTTGATTCTTTACAAAGACATATCTTTGGTGAAGCAGTTCTTCCAATTTAACTGTTGATGGTGCTCTATATATTTTGTTATATAATGGCTTAATACATTTTAAATTAACAATGATGACTGAGAACTTTAGTTGTTGGCTAATACTCATTAGAATTTGTAAAACTAAATGTATGCATCTGCATAAATTTATCTTCTATTAACTGTGCTTCTTTTTATGCCTATTAGCACAGACTTTATACCTATTAAGCCATTTCTTTTTTTTTTTAAGATTTTTTTTATTGGGTAATTGGGGGGATGGGAACAGAGCTGGGGAATTGGGGGAAGGGGAACAGACAAGTTGCTGTCATTTTGTTCTTCAGTCTAGTTGTGGAGGACGTTGCTTCACTGGCCCAAGTTG